TAACAAGTGCCACGCTACTAGGAACAAGTGCCTTACTAGTAGTAACAAGAAGCTTTTGGTTGGACGAATTCCGTGACGTCAGCGTCCATCCTTTGGTGACCTTTCCTTCGAAGCCGCTCGCACCGGTTCAACGCACCGGTAGTGGCGGCCGGGAAACGACAGAAGAAGACGGGTCGACTGGCCAGTGGAGTGGTAGATTTAAGATGATTGAAAGTCTCCACAAACAACCAACAAGTGTTGTGGATGGCATGGCCTGTTGGAAGACCCTGAAATCCCCAAACACAGGGTTTCCCACTTCGTTTGTCAGTTCCAGAACAAAAAGTAGATCTGAATCAAAGGCAAACGGAAGGGTAGTGCACAGAAAGGGTTTTGCAAAAACCTATTCTACTAACGTCGTGGAAGGCGCGTGACCACACACCCTCCGTTTAGCCTTCACTGAAGGTGACTGATTCTTGGACCCGAACACATTTGCTATACAGATCAGTTCCATGGAGTGAGTGGATGGCCGTCATCGGGGGCACCCCAATGATCGGCCAAGGCAAATGGAACTGCGAACGGTACTGGTCACGCATGCGTTGAAATGGATAAGTAAGCATTTGAGTTGTCAGTGTAACAACTAAAATATGATGCTTACAACTCAAATGCTAAGTATTTGCCAAGATTTGCCAAGTATTGCTGTTGGGAGGGGAGTCAGCTGCTCCCGCTTGCTCCTTTTGGCCAATAGATGTCAAGGGCCGATGGTCGGTGCGTGCCTGAAACGCATTCCATCGAGTCGCTCGGACATGGGCGACTGATATATAAATCTACACATCTCACTCACAAGGTCACATTAGAGAGAACGGTTTGCATTGAACACTCCATTAAGTTGCTGACTGCTACCGAATGTTTGCCTACTACTTCCTGGTTCAGCAGGAATTCGAACACTATCCCCAGAACACGAACCAACCGGTGAAATCTCTCCGATAGGATGAGCTGGAACAGATCAAGGCCGATGATGAGCTGGGCATCGAAGTCTGTGAGCCGAAGGCTGTGGTTGTCCAGCATCTGGAGCTCCCAGAGAAATGCCAAGAGCGCACGGCGCGCAACTTGGAGGAAGAAGAGGAGTGTGGTGAGCATGGGAAAAGGTGACACTAGATGTGACACTTCTACAAATATACAGTGTCTTGTACTTGCAGAAGATAGTGCAATGTGAATGTCAAGAAGTCTGCCTTCTTGAGATCTTTCTACTCAAGTCAAACAGTTCTAGGTATTCTTGTGTCTCCTGCCTCATTTGCAAGAAGTTGACTCACCTTGAGCCCGGTCCTCTGTTCTGTTCAGAAAGGTGTGTGGTTTCTGTTGCCGTGATTCCAAACACAACGACGTAACGATGCATATATATAATCATATATCATATATCTTTTTTTTTACCGATCAGTTCGGCTAAGTTAGTGTACAATATTCCAGTCCCATTTCTCGTGTTCTGGCGCTGTCTTGCATCCTTGGTCGATGTAAAGCATTTCTCACACACCATCCTTGGTTTTCTTTAGTTGCTGCTACTTCTCACACGGTGTCCATCTCGGGTGTCCACCGAAAAAACCGTGTCGGCTTGTTCAAACGACTGGCGGACTGAGGATATTTGGAGAAGCTGTCCTTCGACTGGCGAAAGGTCTCTGATGTCCGAGACCTGCGAAGGACCGGACTCCAAGAACCAGCAGCAGCAGAGGTGCTTGAGGTCGCCAAGCATCCAGAGTGCTTCTCGACGGATGGCGTGTACGTGCATGTTCGCGCGGGCGTGTGTTTCACTTGTACTGACAGCGTGACACGTGTGCAATCATAGGATTCATTCCACATTCCTCCTTTCCTTGTAATACTTGTTTTGCAGTGTGTCCAGACGCCGAACCAGTTCTACAAGTACTAGTTGGCCCATCTATATATAGGGCATGAATCCCTTCTATTAGAGATGGCCCTTTAAACAAAGCTGGCCCATCTCTTTCACCGAACCATCGAACGACCGTCGAAGAAGAAGAAGAAACAGAAGATCGTTCCATGGGAACGACCGGAACGAGATCGAACTCGGTGTCCGAAATGACCAGAGACCACCAGGACCCTCCAGTCGGAGTGCCCTGTCTGGAAGCCTATAGGTAGTGTGGGGTAGTCCAGCCAGGACACCCCGACAGGAGGGTCCTGGCAGAGATCAGGTTGCATTCTGCAGTTCTGGCTGGCCTTAAAGTTTGGTGTCTGGGCGACAAGTCCGACTCGCTGTCACTCGCTGTCAGCTTCCGGGCGAGCTGGGTTGAAGCTGTACTTGCTTGGGCGATTTTTGTGTGATCTTCCAAGGTGAGTGGTTGGGGTAGGGACGCCTTGGTATCTTGGGATCTGAATAAGATATAGGTGTTGAACTCCCTGTATGCTGCCCACTTGCTGCCATGTTTGACACGTGTTGCACACACAAACCAATTCATTGTGGCGCTCGAAACCGGCCGATATGACCGGTGTTGGGGTGGTGAATGCAGGTCAGCATACTTCAGGCAGACAAAAGTGTATGCTTGTTAACCATGTTCAAACAACATTCAACAAAAACAAAAACAAAAAACCGCACTGTAGGGTCAGCTCCGGATGGAATTGTCAAGTACAATTTTCGTGGCAGGTGTGGAATGGTCAATTATCACGCCGTTTTGAATATATATCAACAACATTTAAGGGTTTTTGGGTGTGAAAAATGACCGCCCACACGGCCCCAGGTCTCCCAATGTAGGATTCCTGGGGGTAAGGGTTGACATGAGTTTGTGCTTGAAGAAGCGCAACTTTTGTTTGGCCAGTGCGTCACAAAGGGGGTGTTGCATTGAAAGGTAATTGAAAAGTGATGTTTAATCCAAAGAAGCAATCTTATAAGGGGTTTATACTCGTGCAAAATATCCAAGCAGAGGTTGAACGGATCTGTGCTTTTCACACTTTTGCTTTGTGCTGCCCTGCGTCACAAAAGGGGTCTTGCATTGAAGGGTAATTGAAACGTGATTTTATCCCAAAGAAGCAAACTTATAAGGGGCTTATACGCGTGCAAAATATCCAAGCAGAGGTTGAACGGATCAGTGTTTTTCACATGTTTGCTCTGCGCTGCCCAAAAAAAGGGTCTTGCCGGTAATTAAGCAGTGATGTTTCATCCAAAGAAGCAATCTTATAAGGGGTTTATACTCGTGCAAAATATCCAGGCAGAGGTTGAACGGATCAGTGTTTTTTTCACATGTTTGCTTTGCGCTGCCCTTCAGGCAGACAAAAGTTGATGATTGTCAACCATGTTGAAAAAACATTAAAGAAAAAGCACTGTAGGGTCAGCTCCGGATGGAATTGT